AAAAAAGTCCATTTTTTTTTTCTTTCATTTCTCCTGGTTCGCTGCCCAAACCCCCCAACGAAAAGAGGCTTTTTTTCCATTTTTTTTCGTGGGGGGGGGTGGAGCAAGGGTTGCGCCGCCGAATGGCGGTTCCCGAATCCCGAGACCCCCTCCCCTCTGGCTTCCACGTGGCGCCAAAGCCGCGCGTCCACGGGCTCGCGGCCTAGTCCGCGGCCGTGGACTTGGCCGCGCCTGTCCGCCGCCGGGTCGTATTCATAGCCGATACACAGTGTGACACGCTGATGGAAAGTCTCGACAAGCTTAGTGACAAAATCCAATATGGTATGGAACTGCTTGCAGACATCGTGCACAGCCATGGACGTCGACCAACCACCCCATTTTTTGAGACGACATTGTGGGCGGAGTACGAGGAGCGCTTGCGAAGAGAAGAGTGACCCCGTGCTGTAACCGACTGGTGGGCTGGACCAGATTTTGCACACCATGTCGTTCATCGCCAGGAAGAAGATTCAAAAGGAGAACAATCAAGAGCCCGATGAATTGAAGGAGTCTGTGGCGAAGGCACACACACACACACACAGTGGAGTGTAGTTCCTCAACTTTCCTTGTGGGAGGGCGTAGGCGCTGTAGATGGTCACTGTAGATGAACGTGTTCGCTCTCTTTTCCGTTTGTTCTTTTTTTCGCTTGCTTTTGGTTATCCGCAATTTGCGTGCCCTGCACTGTCTGTAGCTACACCTCAGGAAACACAGATGTGGTGTTCTCCACGGGCAGGTGTCGTGAGAGGAAGAATGGGTCGGATTTGATTTACTCAAATTTTGATTTCAGAACTTCAAATACGTTGAGTCACACATGATGCAAAAAAAAAAAAACATGATCTCATATGATGGCGACATATGTAAAGTAGTGGGCCGTTTTTTATGTACAACTGCCATATTTAACGTAAGCTTAGTAGTTTACTTGTACGCAGGCGACATATGTAAAGCTAAGGGAAAATATATATGTATATACACTAAGACAAAACCTCACAAAAGGGAAAAAAAAAGGAATTGCGCACCCATCAAGCCTTTTATTTTCTTCGTAGTAGTAGCCTAATCCGTCCAGCGATAACGATCGTGATCATAGCAGAAGGAAACGAGGAAATGCTTTGTTGCTGCAGGTCTTTTGGCAGCAAGGAAGCGATGGAACACTGCTCTTCTGTAGCAGAAGCGGGCCATTCTTGCCCGAGGTAGAAGGAGCTTATTGGGTATTTAATGCGAAGGGAACAAGGTCCTCGTAAAAGGAGAGAGATTGCATCCATCAAGGTTTTTTCACTTTTGTCTGTAGTAGTGCCTAATCCGTCCAGCAATATAGAGCGTGGTGGCCAATGGAAATGCATTGTCGCTGTAGCTGAAGGGGTTTCATTCTTGCCTAATGTGGAAGGAGATGGATAAGCATTTTGGCGAGAATCAAAAAACGGTGGTCGTGGTAAGAGACAGACTGCACCTAGCAAGCTGAGCGCGTGGAAAAGAGACGAAAAATGCATTTTAGCTGCAGTGAGGTGGTCGGAGAGAAAGAAGGCAACGCTCTGCCTGAATGTGTACGACAAATACGATGAGCAGCTTCGAGGTGGGTGTGAATCGCTCAGGCTTGTCTGCATCTACGTGAGCAGGATGAGTCTTGGACTAGTAGAGAGAAGACAACCCTCTGCCTGAATGTGCATGAGAAATATGATGAGCAGCTTGGAGGTGGGTGTGAATCACTCAAGCTTTTCAGTACGTACGACACCCTGTATTTTGGTGGTGTTCGATTGTACAGTACGGTTTTGGACGGTATCATATCGAACACAAATTGCAGGGTCTTGGGGAGAGCACGTCCAGGTGATCAGTTGTACAGTACGGTCCGAGGGGAAACCGGACCAACTTTTGAATAAAAAAAGTGCCCGCCGCACTTCACATCTCTCTCTCTCTCTCTCTCTCTCTCTCTCTCTCTCTCTCTCTCTCTCTCTCTCTCTCTCTCTCTCTCAACCGCAATGCACATGGACGATGCTGAACACGAAGCTTCCATATAAGTCGTCTTGTTTTGTAATTTTGTAGTAGGACAATATAGGCGGTCTCTTCTTCTCTGTATTTGGAATGTGGTTGGTTTTGTGAAGATTGATCTCTTTGTTTTCTCGGCTAGTACTATCGGTTCTGTCACATGCAATTTGTTTAGTATTTTGTAATCAGAAACACGTAATACAAACGGAGATGACATAGTCGCGGGTCATAGTGGTGGAAGGTAGCTTCGAATGGTTTATGAATTTTCTTCCTTTTGTTAGTTTAGTCTCCCCTTGTCTTTGCTTTTGGAAGGTGGCGGTGTGGTGAAAAGGGATGGTGGACCCGATTTCCACCATAGCCTAGGCTGAGTATTGGCCCCAGTATGTTACCCCGGACTGAATTCTGAGGTCCCCGACATCAATTACGATTTTTGCAAAATCTAAGCCATCTTTAAAAAAAAAAAAAAAAAAAAAAAAAAAGTGATGGTGCATGTTGCTGCGTTTGGCTTACACACCGATATTGCGTGGCCAACTAAAAAAAAAAACAGGGGAAAAATATGTTAATTGCAAAAATATTGCTTTTCCAAGTTTGGCAGCAAAAATGTTGTCCGTTCGTTTCACGTGCCTGAAGTGTGAAGTATCTAAAGTTATTACTGATTGGCTTGTCCGATGCCTGTCACTGAAAACTGACATGATCAAAAAGGTTTCACAGTTGATGTTGTAGTCACAGCGGTTATAGCAGTGCATGCAAGAACACTGCTTAACCTGTTGTCGAGAACGAACTTGTAGTTAAGCGTCTCCTGGAATGCAAGGAAGGCAGAGACTGCAGAGCACGACGTAAAAAACATTGGACTCGGAGATCTTTGTGCAAGGATTATATCTTCGTGGCTGCTTCGGAGAATGGCATCGGGATGGTCATGATCATGGTGATGAGCGTTTGGTGAAACTGTGGCAATTGTTTCCACTGGTTTAGACTTCATTGTCTTATTTTTTTCCCACTGGCATTTTATGATATTAGAGATCAGTGTAGTAACCCTATTTAGAAGTAGTCTGGGGCCCTGAACTCAGCCGCAGGCCACGCAGACCTGAGTAGGTCTGCGCTGGCTGTGTGACCAAGACACGCCGAGGCGTGAGTCTGTTGAGCGTGGCCGTGTGACCGAACGCTGCACACAGGAAATTCAAGAGTCAAAGTCAATTGTAGAGTTAAAGGTACCGCACCTTCCCGTTTGTCGCATCTTCCCAACCCCTCATGCCTAGCATCAGCTCGTCGGATCGCCTCGAATATAAAAAATGCTCAGAAGAAGATGGGCGACTTGCCGAGATGCCGATCCCGAAAGGAAAAGGGCGACTTGCCTCGAATATAGAAAATGCCAAGAAGGATAGAAGAAGAGCAAAAATTACTTAGAAGAATGGAAGAAGAAGCTCCCCACACACCTCCTCTCTCTCTCTCTCTTCACAACATCCCAATGTGGGCAGTTCGTCGCCTCGCACCCACACATAGTTGTCACCCCGCTTGATCCGAGCATGCACGCCAGGTTTGTCTGTCCGCCACAGTCCATTGCGGCCCCACGTCAACCCCTCATGCCCAGCATCAGCTCGTTGGATCGCCCAACCCTCTGCTCACCTGCGAACTCTTGTTCGTTGACTGATCCCCGCGACCTCGTTAACTTCCAAAATTCTTAGAGAGCGAGTTAATGGCGCTTGCGACATTTATAGCATGCGTGCGCACGATATCCGGGATTGTGTCCGAGAAGGAGGAAGTGGAAGGAAGGAAGTGCCTACGACTGCATGGCCAGGCCGGAGCGTGCGGGACGTAGCCTCACTCCACACATCGATCTGGTCACGCAAGCGTTCAGGCCACTAGGACAGAGGAAGAGGTACGTGCGCACGGGGGTGCTACAAAAGATATCAAGAACGAGAGGATTACAGTTGCAATCGTGCCCGCCAAAACAAAAATTACAGTTACACACAAGGATTGAGGCGTGGAAAGGTCAGAGCGCAGATCCTGACGCGGCAAGACATGCGCAAGCGAGGAGCGCGATGCAGCAGAAATTGAAGTGCGCCCAAATTCCTAATTTAAATCTTAATTGCAAAACGAAATTCCCAACGAAGCAAATTTCGAGAGCCCGCGGGGGCTCGACATCATTTGAAAATTAAAAAAGATTTTCCCGCACGAAGATCGCACCAAAATTCTCATTTCCGATAGCAGAACAAAGAAGAAGTTATATCAAGAGTTGTCTTTCACGCTCGCTAAGGCGCGATGAACTACCAACCGTCACAAGATTACCCCGACCTCAATTCCGAAGGAGAAACAAATAAAGCAAGGACACCCATGCAATTCCCCAGACCGTCCCGATTCAACCCCGAAGTAGTCTTGCGCAGAAAATCGCGTGGCTGCAAAAAATTGTTCTTCACATATGCGACGCCCAGGAGGTTCCAATGTTGAGCAAGCTCCTGCTTGCTATCTCCATCATCCATCGATTTCTCTGTGATCGACGTGGCGTTGACACGTGCCATTTACCATAAGATGAGAGTGTGAAAGTCATCCAGGTGGCATTCGCAAACTCAGATCTATGGATTGTTGGGGAAGGGTAGTCGGATGAACGTGCGGGAGAGGTGGCAGAAAGCGGCTCCACTCTCGATCTCCGGTGGGGAGTCAAGTGTCATGGATGATGCGATGTACGCGAGGGAAGCAATAATCTTGGTGAAGGAGGGAGGCGAGGTAATTATGGTGTGAAAATCATCGTAATTTTCCCACGCGCGGATAACGCCCGAGATTACGCAATAGCTCTCTATATTGTTATATTTTTGCCATGCAGTGCTAAAGAGAAGAATGTGGAGAGGAAAAGAGGTGACAAGGGAATGGGTGGTGGCATGTAGGAAGACGGTGGAGATGAGAAGGGTAGAGTAGAGTTGGTGGAAGAGGGAAGGTGGGAAGAGATGCCAGTTGTACAAGAACGGAGGATGAACGCGAGCTGGTGAAGGGTGAGGTAATCAAGGGGACGACGGGATACCTCCTCTTCATCTACCTCTTTTTCTGCTTCCACCTCCACTCTTCGAATAATCGGATCCCACAAGGTGAGATCAGTCACGTCAATAACCAGGTAATGGTTCGAAGAGGGGTAGTAACAATTGTCGTCGTCGAGCTCCATACACGTGGACAACAATAGATGAGGTACCAACGTACGGGGGAGTGTCGCTGGTGTGGACCGCTCGTCGCAGCGGGAAAGGATCCCTAGAGGTAGATCGTCCAAGAGTTGTGGCAGAAACACTAGGATTTCGCTCGTAATAAGTTCAAGATGTTTGTTCCTCACTTTCCTGAATAGAATCCCCAATTGTTCTCCCTCTGTATCCGTTCTCCAGGCTTGGACGATCAGTAGCTACACCTCGACATCGAGGACTTCGTCTTCCTCCTCTTTATCGGTTGGCCCGGCCTAATGGAACACCACCTAGAGAAGGGAAAAATTCAGCACGACGTACGTGTGCCACCACTCCGTCCACTTACCCGTCTCCAAGATTGGCACGTCCAATTGCCTGATCCGAAAAGAGAGAGGGACGTCCGTAGCAGACTGCCAGAAGATAGGGAGATCAGAGGGAAGCCCGAAGGTCGAGAGGCGGTGCCGGTTCATTGAGGCGGCGCAAAGGGAAGAAGCTCCAGGAGGATGATCTCTACCATAGTGGGAGACAGTCTGATCTGGCTGAGATCATCGTCGTTCGTGGAAACGATCTGATCGCCTGGTTGAGTTAACAACTGGACCCACGCGGTCGCGAGATCCCCCGCCGAGAGTCGCAACTGCCGAAAGATGCCCATATGGGTCGATGGATGCAACATCGTAAGATCATCGGTGAAGGCGACGATCACTGACACGTGGCTGACGCCTGGTGGAGACAGCCACAGAAAAGCTGACACCTCAGCCAACACTCGCGACCGGTCGCCGGTTCGTGTTAACCGAAATTCCACCACCGTGTGGATGGTCGTCGTACTGAAGAAAACCGCGAATCGAAGTAGATATGCACTCAATTGTAGCCGTTGCACCTGTCGAATTGACGAAATATGCCCCCCGAAACTCATTACACGCTTGTTGATGACCTTCTAAGTAGAAAATCTCATGGTGATGGGGGAGGAGGTAGAGATGAAGGCTAAGAGGAAGGAGAATCCGAGCATTCGAGTTCGAGATTGTCGTCTTCCTCTTCGGAATCAAAGGACGATGTAGACGATAAGGGAGGAGGGGAAGGAGGTAGGGGACGGAGATAGGACACATGTCGAATGATCGGTCGAGACGATCAGCTTCGTGAGACCTCAGGTGCAAGCCGCACCGTATTCACTCCGCTAGGACCGAACTCGACTACGAGAAACCACCCAAAGAATCGTGGTGCTAACTTGCCTTGGCGAGCACATTTCCTTACCTGCACTATGTCCCTTAATTTATACTGAGGTCGAGGCCCTGAGTTCCCATTTCGGGCCTCTTAGCTCCGGACCTCTCGTCCGTCGGCCATTTCGATCATCCACTGTCTTTTTCGTGCTAACCGGGGGAGGGTTTTTTCCATCAATTTCAAATGGCGTTGAGCCTTGTCCTTAATTGTTGCCCTCGTGGCTCGTCGCGCAAGGGTTGTCCAATCGTTCGAGCTCAGCAGAGCTAAGCAGACTAGGCTATTGGTCTGTAACTCAAAAGGGGTTAGGCCGGTGGACTCCTCGGGTGTCCCTAGGTGGATAGCTAGGATGTGGTCTACGATATCGGGTCAGGGCCTCGTGTCATGAGTCGCGATATTTCTCCGCAGAGCTGTTTTAATCACCCGGTTTGCATTCTCTACTAGTTCGTTCGATTGCGACATATGGGGAGTCGTATTATGAATAGAGGCGCCATGCACGACTAGGCTCCTTAAGACTTCTCCTCGGAATTCTGCCCCATTGTCCGTTAGGATTTCCTCGGTGTCCTGATGCATTCCGGGGAAGCGGTTCACACACCTCACAATTTCCGCCGTCTGTTGCGTTTTACAGGGGTAGGCGTCCATTGAATGATTCACGAATACAAGGAGAAGTGACTCTTCGCAGCTATTCGGTCTAGGGCGTACTACAATATCCGCCGTATTCATGCTAACCCTTTGAAACGGTCGCTCGACTACGGTAGGCACTATCGACTTAGACGGTTGAATCGGCGCCTTGTCTGTTGCGCAGACCAGACAATTTTTAACGATGAATTTAACATCGTCCCAGATATTGGACCAATACGATTCGTTTTTGTCAATTGCTGCCTCCATGATCCTGATAGCAAAGTGAGCGGCGGTTTCTTCGTGGGCCGACTTGACCTAGTCGTACCTCATGAACGGGTGAGGTACCGACATCCAAATCCCACTACCATCAGTCTTTCGGTTCTTTAACCATTCGTCAATCCATCAGTAATCTCGCGCCCTCTCGTTAGCTCGCCTCCGATCTTCCTTGATGAATTCTCAGAGGGAGTTCCCGACCACCGTGGCTATTAAAACGACATTTGTCCATACTTCCACCCGTTGAAATTTGCGTGTCTTTTTTAATCCTTTGGACGTGGCCTCGAGGAATCGAGCCTCCGTCCGGATTTTATTGGTTCGACACAAGGGACATACCTAGTCTTTATCCACATTCCTGTATTAGATACAGGAGCTATAGGCCCAAGAGACACACCGTTCATAGTCTACCCACTCGACATACCCTTCGCGACTAGGACGTATAGGAACCGAATAAACTCGTGATATTGCTTCGCAAAAATAACAGAATTTGTCGGGAAAGGAGAGAACAGAAGAAGATGAGAGGGGAGAAAGAGGGTCTCTAAAGTTACCTCCTCCTCCCATCGCCATAGTGTCCACGTGTCACTTCCTGGAGGTTCGGGGGAGAATGGCCATTCTATCGTACGGGGGTACCTTGGATGGTTCCCGTTCTTTCCATCAAGTGATTTCTCCACCCTTGGCCACCTTGCTTGGTCGATGCAGTCGCGTCAACCCGTCTGCGCCCCCGTGCCTTTCTCTCTTCCGATTAATGATGTCGAAGTCATATTCCTGTAACCGGACAGCTTATTGCCCAATCATGCCCGTGTAGTTAGTGAGCCTCTTGAGAGCCAGCAGGGGCTCGTGATCTGTAACAAGGAGGAACTTTTGTCCGTATAGATATGGATGGAAATGTTGGATTCCCCAAACATCCACGTAGCACTCGCCTTGAGGGGTCGAATCGTTCCTTCTTTCATCAGGTACAGTTCATAAGGCGTAGTCGATGACATGTTCACGGCCGTCATTCCCCTTCAAGGCCAAAATAGCGCAGGTCGCCTTAGGCTGCCTGTTTGTAACGAGGATAAATTGCCTACCATAATGGGGCTGAATCAAAATCGGCGCGGAGGCGAGGGCCTCCTTTAGAGTGACAAAGGTTTGTTCACACTCCGCGTCCTACTTCAGTGATTGGTCCTTCCGTAGGAGGTTTGTTAGAGGTCAGGCAATCACCGCGAACCCCTTGATAAACCTTTGGTAGTATGAGGCTAACCCCAGAAAGGCTTGAACCTATATCAATCACGTAGGCATGAGAGCTTCTCGAACCGCCTCGACTTTTCTCGAATCTGGCCTCAAGCCCCCGCGGGTCACCACGTACCTTAGAAACGAGATCTCTGAAAGAAAAAACTCACTCTTCTCTAGTGCGATCTTGAACCCAGCATCTCGTTGCGCCCCCAACGTTCATTCGATGTGCTGAGCGTGTCCGTGAAATGATTCCGTATATACCAGGATATCGTCCATGTAGACAAGGACACAAAAGTTGATCATTCGCAGGGTCAGTCTAGTCTTGTTGACGAAGTCTGGAATGTGATGTTCATCGCTCTCTGAAAAGTTGTCGGCGCGTTGCATATTCTCATAGGGCAACGAACCCACTGCCGCGTGCCCTCGAATAGTACGAACGTCGTTTCCGGCCGATCCTCCTCCTTGACTAAGATGTGATGGAACCCATGGCGGATATCAAACTTACTGAAATAATTAGCACACCCAATAATATCCTACAAATCATCAATCCGGGGAAGGGGGTACACATCTTTGATCGTGATGTCATTCAACTTTCTATAATCGATGCATATGCGGATCAACCTGTTTTTTTTTTGAACTTGGACTACGGGGAATGACCATGGTCCAGTAGCTGGCTTAATCCATCCGTTAGCTTCGAATTCCCTGATTCGTTCCAGCGTTGTCCTTTATTCGCCAAGAGAGTATCGATATGGCTTCCAGTGGATTGGCGGATGCGTTCCTGTTTGAATTCCGTGGTGAATAACTAACGATAACCCAATGTCTGTGTCCTTCACACTAATCGCCCTCTGGTATTCGGTTGGGATATCTGCAATTAGTCGATGAGTTTTGTCGGGTACGTACTGGGGCACATAAAGTTCATAAAGTTGTCTGCGTATGTTAACCGTCACTTGTTTCGTGCGCCTACTTTATTACCGTTTCGTAGCGGAGGAGCCGAAAAAAGTGAATTGTCTGATCGACAGGAGAACATTGTGGCGACCATCTGGGCGTCTTCTTCCCTGAGTGCCACTTGTTCTTCTAGTAGTACGTCGTCGTTGATGTTCTGCAAACTTAATGGTTTCTCGGCGATCTTTATTCTGAGCTCGTAACGGTAGCCGCGCCCAGGGGGTTTCAAAGCTCCATCCTCGGCGCCCTGTCGCAGCAATCGAACCTCTTTCCCTGTAGAAAGCAGGAAACGAGGTAATTCCGTAA